TTAACCAACTGTCTGCAACTAGTAGGTATATATCTGGACAAAACGGACACATGGCGTGTGTCCTCCTTGTTACCTTACTTTAATGCATCTCCTAGGCATTCATGATCAGTAGTATGTGTTTCTATCCCGGAAATCCCAAAGAGAAGTTTGGCACATTAGGAATGCCTTTTGCAATACAGACACAATGAACTATTTATTTATCCAGGTAAAATACAAGGCACAATATAACTATGGCTGGTTAGCTCAAAAACCTGCTTTCCCATACTGTGTCACGATAACCTTGTTATCCAAATGCAGAAGAAACAAAATAATTTAACATGAGTGGGCTTGTTATATTTCATGAAATAAATGATGTGGAAGAGATAAAGCTATATAATGAGTTTTCAAAATAAAATATATGGTCTAGGAAAAAGCCATAACACAAGAATCAGAAATCAAAAACCTCAGTGCTGCAGAGACTTCACCATGGTCCTACAGAAACCCAGCAGTCTCACATGTAAGTATATAACGATCCAAAAAAATTTATGTGTGCACTTCACTATCTGAATGCGTAGAACTGCATTTTCAGAGCATTTATAGATGAGTATTTTCTAAATCATCTGTAGTACAAAGACCCAGCCCCGTTAAGGTAAATTTATGTATATATTTTTGCAGCTACACAAAATGTCACTGACTTCATTTGAGACCTAAATGGTTGTAGAAAGGTCTACTGCCATGAACATCTGAGTCTTACTGGAGGATCAGTTCCCTAATATCAGTTTAATAAAAGCATACATATAAAGCATCTTTATACACACATATACATATATACATACATACTTACTTGTATATTTTTAAGACTATGAAAACCCATTTCTTCCTTGCATAACATTTTCTCAGTGAACGGTAAAACATTTTGGACCTGATTTTAAGGTTATGCTACAATTTGGCAACTCCCTCCACCACACTCAGCATGTGATCTTTTACACAGAGAAGAGGTTGCCACACATACTCACTGCCTGAAACTGAGGATTCAGTGTAAAGTTACACTGTCCACTGAAACATCATTCTTGTTTAAAGAGTGTTATCATCAACATCAGTTTTAAAAGTCATATTCCGAAGTGACTGAACACAGCACTCTTTAAATAATATACCCTAGTATTTTGAAAAGTTAAATAAAAATTTCTCCACAGGGTTATCTAATCTCCATTTTTTCATCATTTTCTTCAGACAAGAAAACTTGATTTATTATTCCCAAAAAACTACTTTTCTTAGAAATCACTAATGACTTCCTCTGCGTACATTAGAGAGGTCTGATTTTAGGAAAAAGTTAAATATTCCTGTTTCGACATCCAAGACTCTTTCACAGAACAAGGCTGCTATCTAGCAAACTTTCCATACAGCATAAGCATATAATTGCTTCAAATAGTCCTTGAGAAGATGACTATTCTAAAAATTGAACTTCCATCATGAAGTAACCATTTTCAAAAAACATTTGCCTGTTAGCTGTCAGATTTACAAAGAAAATATGATGGAAAAACTATCATTTTTATCCCAATTGATTCTTCTGATCACATTTCTGCAGCACGAATAAAATTAGCAATCAATCAAAACTGCATTGTCAAATGGTGGAGCCCATCACTACACACATGAAGGAAGTATCATTCTTGTAAACAGTGTTGTACAGGCAAATATAGTTTAACAAAACTGCTTGTTTCCATAAAAAATAAACTCCCTTAAAAAACAGTGCTTTTGTGGAGGAGGTACAATATGCTAATAATTTTCACCCGAACAAAAGTAATCTTTTGGCTTTTTGTGACTAGATTCAGCTCTGATGTGTTACCTTTAAACCTAGCGACAGGTCAGAATGGATGCAAGTTGATGAGAGAAACTGTGGCTTCAAATTTAATAGAACATATATGATGCAGTATCCAAAAAGGAGACTCAGATAGAGCAGGTAGGGAACACATCAGCCAACAGATCTTCCCAGCTCCAGCCCTTTGCCTGTGAGTTTCACAGAATCCTGGCCATTTTAAATAAGTAACATCTTCTGCAGGCTGAATGGGCCACTGTAGAAGCTGGAGGAACCATAATGTATTACTTCCTGCAATGCTAGCCCAAGGATTAAAATATATTTCCCTTTATTTAGAAACCAGATATTTTCTTCACTAACTTCCATATCACTTTTTTCAGTTCTTTGCCACATAAAGATACCATAAGAATATTACACTATAAGAAGTGGCATATCAATTTGATATTTGCTGAACACTGCAGATGATTTTTCTCACAAAAACATGATTAAAGGTTGCACTAGACACATTCGCTTACCCATCACTACCAATGATGCCATTATTCAGGTCTAATCATGTCTGATAACTGTATAACTGTGAATGGCCAGAGGTGAGATGCTGTGAGAGCACTGGGAGAATTCCTAGATGACTTCAAGAAAGCATCCACGTACTTGGTGTATTCTGTGTAAAAAGGATACATGAGATGTGGCTCCTAGTAAACAACAGAACTCTGTAACCTTACTTGTTCTTTATTTTGTTTCCTTTTTGGCAGAGAGTAAGAGTTCTCGCTAGTTCCTTGTGACACCCTTGCCCAAGTGCATCCAGTGAGTACTGCAAACAACTAGAAGTTCCATCTCCTGCATTGTTCAAAATTAATCAGCTCAGTAATGGCCAGAACACTCTTCTGGAGGAGCCCAGTAACCTGAATCACTAGAAGGCGGTAAGAGGACCTCCTTGATCAGATCTAGGGCTTGTAACACATTCTCTGACTCTTTAACATGTAAGATACCGCTTAAGGTAAAAAAGTAGTAATGATTTATATGAGTGTATATGTATGCATATGAAACACTGAGACGCTGTACAGTCCCCCTCTATTCTAACACATGGATGGTTTTTGTTCCTTCTAAAAATATTCTATCACTTTTTTTTTTAAATTGAAAAAGTAAGAGTAGAATTCACCTGTAAAATATGAAATTGGCCACAAAAACATTCTTCTGCTGTACACTCAGCTACAAAATCTCCGACAAATTTTTGTTTATCCCAGGAGTGTGTTCTTCCTCAAGTCTTCATTCCATATCTAATAATCTTTACTGCACACCTAATAAATCATATACTTAAATGAAGTGTAAACATCAATACAAGTTTCACTAGGACAAAAGGGGAGACAAATCTGCATACTTCTGGCAGTATAGAGTAGGCAGGATGACAGTGAGTGATGAAAGAATATATCAATGTGGGGGATGATTCAAGCCTCTTAAAATTTGTGGAATAACAAAGAATGAGACGGCTTTAATTGTCATATAAATTCATTAGAAACACATTTTTAACACTTTTTTTGATACCTTTTTTTTGCATCTGAGTTGGAACTGATTAAAATTGGAAATGTAACACCAGGCTATGTTCTTGTCTTAGCTATAAATGAGTTCCATATCAAGACTCCTCCCTTTCTTCACCAAGCTTATTTGTGTATTTGCAAGAGTAATGGCAGTCCAGCGATGTACCTCAGGCAAAAGAGCCTGTGTGTCTATCAATATTTGGGTGACTAGCTTATAAAGTGTTCACTGGAACAATATGCCCTGAAGCTAATGAAGATACCATTCATATTAGTCAATTTGGGACTCACTGTGCAACAAAGTACTGAGTAAATCCAGCACTACAGTGTATACACACTCTGAGACAGAGTATTTTCAACAAAATTAAAATTTTTGGAAACAAAAAAATTCCATGCAGATAAACAGTTTTGCATAAACATTTTATGGAGAAGGTTTTGGAATACATGATTTGCTAAACTGGAGTGGCCAAGAAAAAGAAAGACTAACAGTCTCCCATTTGGTCTCCCTTTCTTCTACCCACGAAAACCAAATGCCGGAGTTAAAAAAACATTTTAAGTTTTTATTCTTACTCCACAGGCAATGAAGACAGGAGTTAAAACTTCAGTCTAAATGAATGTTGCTCTCTAGACATCGGTCATGTACAATCCCTTTATGGATACACCTAGAAAAAGTGGATTTCCATATGGCTCCTATTTCAAAGCCCTGCAAAAAATGTGACTATTCAAAGTATAGCTATGTTGTCAGGTTATTTTGTAGTGTGCTACCAAAAGCCAGCGACTAGCATTGACAGCATTTGGATCCAGTACTAACATCCTACTACTGCTGCTGTAAGAGTGGTAATCCAGCTGGGAGTTACCAGTTAAAAAACAGGAACTTGCCACCAATACGATCAATGGATAAATTCTATGATCCAGGCCACTTCTTCACCCTCCCTACAGTATGCCCTCGCAACAAACACCTTCCTAGAAAGCTAGCTACCTAATCTGTAGGATCTGTTCTTTATCTACAGTATAACCACCCTCGCTTCTCCTTACACACATAACGCAAACTACAGAGAAAAGCCCTCAGGGAATTACAGCTTCTTACAGCAAACTTGTCAGTTTTAATTCAGGTTAGGTGCCTGCATAACACAAACAATCAGGAAGGAACCAAATCAGTTCCTTTCAGATAATTCACATGTAGTAATTTGCTTGGGCATACACACTTCACATTCCCATGGATTCATTCTACAGATGCGCAATACATGTAATGAGATGGTCATCTATAAATATACCTAGATATATGTATCTCAATACATATACATATAAATATGTATCACATTATATACATATTTTAATACATATATTTCAAATGAGTAATGTAGACACTTCTCAATAAATGGACTGATAAAATTCACGCCTGATGGAGAACTGCATTGGTTTTTGTCAGTGTGTCAGCACAATATATATGCCTATATATGTATTCACTCATGCACATCCACATAAACTTAATGTACATAGGCATCATATAGGTGTAACAGAGCATACAAATCTATGTATAGCATTTGAGTAATGATGTGACAAACATTAGACACATTGCATTAAGTGCTTAGCTGGGAATAACCTTTGGTTTGGCCTCACAAATGTTTTCCTTTTCTAAGCTACACACTTCATATCTGGAGCACGTGGAAGCATCTTACCTTGCTTCCATTTTCTCTTGCCTCCCGTTCCATCTTGAGATCAGAAATTAGGAGAGTCTTGTATTTGTTCTTTCCATTACTGCTGTGATCATCTAGTCTGTATTCTGAAGTCAGCTGAGCAGAAAGGGGACTGTCACTCAGGTTCAGAGGCTGCTCATCCTGCTCCAGATTTGTTTTGCCATTACTGTTGGTTTCTGCCATCTCCCTGCAGTGTGTTCCCCCTGAAGCATTGGAACTGTGTCCCACGGTCTCATTGCCATTAAAACTCTCTGCGGCTGAATCATCTATTAAAAAATATATATTTTCAGTCACATGCCACAATTTATACCTTCACAATGTTTTTCAAAATAGAATGAAAACGGTTTATATTACTAGCACCAGTACATGTCTGCAAAATGTGCACACACACTCCTCCACGTTTTCAAGTAAAAACTTTATGTAAATCCACAAAACATTACTAAGTTAAGGGAAATGATCTGGGCTGACACCTTAGTGTCACTGTGTACACAAAAGATAAGTATCACAAAGGATTTTTAGGGAAAAAGTGACAAAATCTGCCTTAATCCATCTGTTTATCCATATGTCTACGGATTTATTTTCGTTCTTCTACCATGCTCATTACTGCAGTATAGCCTATTTCTGAAATCAACAGAGATGCACATGGTACCTAGAGAGAATCTAGATCTCAGGCTTAAGGGTGTAAAGCAGCATATGTCATATCCATAAACATCTTCTTGCACAGATACAATGTAAATACATCTGATGTATTCACTGCTGGCAGTAGAGATAATACTGGAAAAGCTGACTCTGGAAACAAAGCTCCTCTCTTCGTTTTGTTCCGGTGTTCACTCGCTTTGCTCATTCCTTGTGTGTCACGATATATTTAAAAATACTGCTCACTAAAGAATTAAATTATCAACCTAAAAGCTGCATCTGAAAACTCCGGATGTGTTGTTGTTACATCTAAGAATTTACAGCTGAAAGGTATGATTAACATGGGTCTTCACATGCTTATGGGTTTGTGCATCCTGTGTTTGTCAGCATTGGAATTTGCCACTTGTGCTACTACTCTGCCCATCTCTACTTCTAAACAATCTTCTTGCCAACAGGCTGTCTAGTAAAACAATTCATCCTTCTATGGATTAAATGGCAGCAGAATGTGGCCCTCAATTTGCTTACTTCTTGTTCTCTAAAGCACCTCTTTTTTGGCAACTTACATGGTTTAGCTAATGGTGAAAACACCTGCCCAGGGCTCTACAATCCTATGCTTATTGCAGACAGTGAAGCTGGAAACAAAACTGGGGGGTTAGCAGCCAGAAATGTATACAGATTGAAACTGGAGATACAGGATGCGATGGACCTTAACATATTAGTACCTTAATATACCATCTGCTTTTGGGCCTTTCTAAGCAAATTCCGTGGAAAAGAAACAAACACATTTATATACACATGGAATTTAAAAAAAACATCAGGACATATTCTTTAAAGGATGGCCTCAGAAATACTCATGCTTGAAACTACATGATCAATCAAATTGTTGACTCTCCATCATTAATACAGTAAAAAATCCAACTATTCACCGCCCTCAGATCAGAATTCAAAAAGTGAAGAAAATACTGTATAAATGGGTAATGAACTAATTCCATTAAGTACTTAAAAGTGCTATAGACAAGCCATCATACATCAGTAGCTTGGTTGCTGTACTCATTCAACACTTTTATGTCATAAAGTATACAGGACTGGGCACACATTCTGAACATGTTTTTTTTAATTTATTTGTTCTGTAAACCTGTAAAAAAAATCTGGTTTCATGTAAATACATAATAAAAAACATAATTTAAATGCTTCTATTTAAGGAACATCTTTTGGTTTTACAAAATGCTTTATAATTAATGGCTGCAATAAAAAATAAAGCTATATTTCAGTATGTACCACTTTTACATTACCTCTTACAAATACAAATGTATGTACAACAAAAGACATAACTTTCCTATAATAAGACTTTTACATGTGCACACCAACCCAACTTGCCACAGAGCAACAGAAATATTCTGGTTTAAAAACCTGGGGCTGCCTGAGGATTTCAGCTAAATGAACCAATAAGGTGAGCAGGATTTATCCTTAACAAACTTTCTATCATGCCCTGAGACTTCTGTCTTACAGGGCATAACACATTGAAAAGGTTAAAATTCTAAACGCATTTTCAGAAATAAATGTGCCATTTTATTATTCAGAACTAGAAAATGGCATTCTAATGCAGGGTCTTTCCTTTTTTTAAAGAAAATAGCCATATTTACAACTCATTTTAAAAGCACTGAGATATCAGAAAGAAAATCAGGTTTCTTTATTTAAAAGAGTAACACTTTGGTTACCGCTGATTCATATTTAGGACTGTTAACAGATAATTGGCTTCTTGATTATCAGTTTAACAAGTGACAGTTAGTTTCAGATTAATTAAATCAATTACTGGATCAGTCACCGAGTGAGGGATGCCCCTCCCTTTGAAGGGTTCAGAAAATTCCCTGCTGTTGGGAGCAAAGAGAGAAACAAGTGAGTAAGCAGAGGATGCAAAGAGCTACCTAGAAGCTGGGGCACTGCTTACTCTGCAGTATGCGAGTCTGATCCCTAGGAACTTCTATGTGCTGGCACCCAAGTGTCCTGGGTCATGCAGTGCAGAGGAGCCACTACCAGGACAGAAAGGGCTAAATGGGAATGATGGACCAGGAAAGGAGCTGTGCCTAGAGCCAGATACAGGAACAAGCAAGTCCAAAGCAAGACTGGTAGTTTTGGCTTGTAATCATAAGCAACAATGCTTTTATTTTACTTTTTTTCCCCCCTGCATGATGAATGGATGACAACTGAAACTCAGACGTGTGTATGTTACAATGCAAAAGAAAAATCCCACCAAATATTTTATATTTGTTCTAAAACACAACCACTGAAAAAATTCCTATGCTGAGTAAATGTAATCAAGTATTATAATACTTTAAAACAATAATACAGCATATACATTATTTTGGCTTTTCTTAGCAAAAGCTTAGTTACTTGACAGTAAATCTCAGTTTCTACTATAAAGTCAAATACCTGCTTTTACAGTCATTTCACCTTGCTTGTTAGAAACGGGAACTATCGTCTGTCAGGATAATGCTCAGAATGTCTACAATGGCTATAAATCACACTTTTGCCAAGTAAATATAAATATGTATTGTCATAAAAGAGATCAAGAAAAAAACAGTGGTTTAGCACTAGCAGTTCCTTACAGGTGTTACCAAGGTAACTAAATTACAAGGTTTAGTACATTTCTCATCCCTGGGCAGTCGGTCTATTTTTGCCAAGAATAAGGCTACTCTAAGGCAAGAGTTTCTGAGATATCAGAAACACAGACCACATCAGGAACAACTGGTTTGGGAGAGAAAGGCAGGAGGGTCTGGCCCAGGAGAGGAAAGGCAAGTTCACCCTTGGACATGGACAGCGGCCCCGCTCACGGCCGCTGGGCCGAGCCGCCCGGCTCCTGTGCCCACAGGGACTGCAAGCACGCACAGCCACCGCACAGCTGCCCAGGAGCAAGGCCGGTTTCATGGAGACCTGGCCCTCGGACCACCCTGCACGGCGGGGACGGCCCCTCCCGGGGGCAGGAGGTCAGATCTCGCCTCCTCACTGTGTTAGGCGCAGTTTACGAGCAGAGGCCGCATCTAAGCCACGGCCTCGGTAGGGACAGGCAGTTTGCTTGCACAGTTTTCTCCCCTTTATTTATCACACCTCAGCAACAATAAACTGCTAACGCTGAAAGCGTTATCTTACTATCTTACTAAATATTTTTTCCCTCCGTCTCGCAGATGCAGAGCTGTGTCGGCTCGGGGGGAGCCGTGCGCAGGGCCCCCGGAGCCGCGGCGTTGCAGCTGCCAGCAAGTGTTTCTCGGGGGCAGCTTGCTCCCAGCTTCTCTCTCAGGACAAGGGCACCACTAACAGCAGGCACCGAGGGGCAGAGGTCAGGGACCCCCTGGGACCCGCTGACATCATGGTGGCAGTTGGGGGCCACCTGGGCCCAGCCCCTGCCCCTTGCCGGGGACCCTGCGGAGGCCAGGTCCACACCAGCCTGGTGTCCATGGGGCAGCAGCCATTGCCCCACCGCTGGGCTGCCCTCCTGCAGGAGGCTGAGTGAACCGCAGCGGCCGTCCCCAGGTTCACCGCGGCACCAGCACCCGTCGGCGGTCACTCCAGGCTCCCTCCCCACGGCTGGCTGATGAGGGGGAAAATAAAACTCTGTCGCAGTCAGCCTGTATCTGGGTAGTACTTGGTACCGATGGCAGCACTGATGCAAGGATGGCGCCTTTTCAAAACGTGTCTCGTCTGAACCGCCGTCCCAGGGCAGGTTTTATGGGCAGACCCGCAGGGAAGCACGCCACAGGTGCTAGGAGCAGAGAGGGGAGGGAGCAGAGGGCTTCCTGGCCCCGCGCTGGGTGTCGGGGAGGCCACAAAAGCGGCTGTGGGATGAGCTCATGCCTTCATCACCTCCCAGAGCCGCTGCTACCTACAGGCGTCAGCCATGACAGTGAATGATGGCCTGAACAAACGCTGCTGCTTGCTCAGGGCAGGCCACAGGCACAGGAACTGTAGAGTTTTCAAAACCCTTACCCCAGCATGCTGGAAGACTGGAAGCACATCTGCAACTGTTCTTGTTACTTAAGCCTGAAAAGGAAGAGTCTGACTGCAAAAGATGTGTGTGTTGCACTTCTCAAAAACAGCCAGCTGGTGCCTCACCTACGCAGAGATCCTCCTCCAGGGACTAAAGAGCATCACCTCTCAGAGAAAGACTCCCAAGAGCGGAGGGAAGGTACCTTTGGATCAGGCAGCAGCTGTCTTCTTGCTGAAGCAAGGAGCACTGTCCAGGCTTAGGCATGGACTTCTTACTCTTGGACCGATATTTCTTAAACCTCCTGATGCCAAGACCTCCTTCTCCTGCCTTGCACAGAGCTCCACGCTGATACTCTGCTCTGGCCAACACCCCTTGGGAACCTTCAGTCCAAGTACTCTCCATGTTAGGGCAAATTCTCAAAACAAGAACTGCAGCAATTTTCCTACTTCAAGTTAGTTTCTTATTATTCGTCACATTGCATTAGAGCTTCCAGGTCATCCTTCTAGATGACCTTGAGACCAGCTAGGCACAAGTGACACCTGCTTTCTTTTTGCACACCTGAGAAGTCCAGGCTTTTGCCTAAGAACTTTCCAGGCTCATTGCAGTCACCACCGTGTTAGCTTCTCCCCCTGCTTTTGAAGGAAACTT